GGGGGGGGGGGGGGGGGGGGGGGGGGGTCCGGTTAGAGGACCACTTTAGGATATCGTCAGGATATTGAGCTGTCGATACCATGCAGATATGTTGCTCTCTTACCGCAGGGTGCGCAAGTTACAAAATAATGTTGTGCTCATACTTAAATTATGCACACTTTTCAAAAGATTTTGATTTCAAAAGGTACAGGTAAGTATACTGCACGATGCACAGCGTACATGTAGCCCATATTCTTATTCATCTAGGATCAAAGCATTTCGCTTTTTATCAAAATTTCCACTGCTACTGTAATCATATCGTTCTAGCTGAGCTCTATAATCAAAATTAATCAGGCTTTCACTATAGAAAGTAATATATGTTAAACCGTGACTACTTGAATGGAAACACGCCTGAAAGTGTGCATACCTGCAGCTATGATGACATATTTTGGTTGAACTGCATCCAGTTCTCGTTGAACCTGTTCTCGTTCTTCCATGCGAGAGTTGGAGCACGTGACTTGGTAGGGTTTCTCCGCCATCAGGTGCAGTAGCTTCCCGCCTATCCATCCCGTACTCCCAAATAGATGTACCTTCACCGGAGATGACATCGTGTTTTAGACAGCTGCGGCCGACAACGGTGTTCTGACAAAGATCTTAATTGAGCCTATCCCTAGAACACAGATGTACACGATATAATGCGAATTAATACATTTTGTAAATTAAGAACCCGCGTGTTAGAAAGCATATTCATAGAACCTATCAGCTGAATCGTGAGTCATTTCTTATACTATATAGCAGTTTCTATCATGTATGTGAGACCTTTGGCCCTATTAAAATAATCAGATCTCTATCATTTATGAATATGTTGCGTTAGTAAACCTTCCAGCTTTATTTCCAAAGGTATTTTCCTCTTATTTCTGCATTTATTAAAACAACGTTCTTAAACGTTTCTCAAAATGTTGATATTTTTACCCTCATCAGGATGAGATGATAAAAATTTTATAAGAACTCAACTTACTTTCGGAGATACAGGGGCGGATCCAGGATTATTTGAAGGGGGTGTCCAAGTTTTTTTTTTTCCTTTTTTTTTAAAGAATGACAGGCCTCGGATGCGAAGCCGACGCTTATCCCCTTAGTGTTTGATGTTTTGGAGGCCAAACGGTTCCATTTGGTGCAGTAAAGACTTATGATTCAGCTCTTCAAAATTCTAATATCAAGAGGGAAATATTGGTGTGATTTTTCCCCCAGAAACCGAAGGGGGGGTCAGGACCCCCCTGACGCCCCCTAAGCCGCCACTGCGAGATCCTGCAGCCTTCGACCCTGATATCACTGTATGATGCAATGAGAGAAGCAGCGAATAGTTATTATTAATTTTTATTCTCACAAAACAAGATATGTCTATGACCTTGATTAATGAATTATTAAAATACGCATGTGTGATCAAGCAAGAAAGCTAAAAAATGCGGGAGGAAACCAATATATATTAAAACAACCAAATAAAAATGTCTGGATGCGATAAGTAGATTGTGCCATAAATGTTCAGCTTACTGGCCATTCGGACCACCAGTTTCCTAAAATCTACTGGTCCGAATTAATAACCACTGGTTCAAATAAATATTTTAATCAGACAGGATATTTATCACTATTACAAATTAATATTAGTAATCACAAGACCCTGATTTTGCCATATCTTTTTTGGAACACCTTCACCCATGGACACGCATTCAAAAATATTTGCAGAAAAATAATGTGGAAAATGGTTAGTTTTTTAATGAAAAAAAACTACTAGTCATGTCAGGCCGCTTAATCGACACATTTTGAAAAATCTACTGGTCAGCACGAAATTATACTGACCACGAGCGTCGGTCCAGCGGCTAACGTGACAGGCTTGTTAAGATACTGTAATTTACTTGAAAACATAAATTTAAGTTTCCATTAAAACTGTTAAGAGTCATAAAATAAAATCCATTTGATGGGGTATTTCCGGCAAATAATTCACCCTCTGTCATTAATCAAAGTTGGCATGTCAAAGCTAAGGTGTAAAAACTGGCCGGTATTTCATGTACAGCAGAGCATTGCAGCACAATACTGCCTTTGTCCTCAAATATCCCTCTGATTTATACACAATGGCCGCCATATTTAAATGAATTATGGATGGCCAAAGGGGACTAATTCTTTCCCTTATCACTGCGAAAAATAAAGAATAAAGAAATAAGTTATATATATATATATATATATATATATATATATGACTTATTTCTTTATATATATATATATATATATCATCAGTTAAGTGCATGCCTGCAGAGAAAGGCGTTGTTTGCACGTTGCAGTTTGATTGAAATTTGGTTCAAGCGTCCGTCGCATAAGAGTCATTGTCAATTCAACGTTGACAAGACAACATCGAAAATCTGGCCTTGATGTTGATCTGCTGTTGCATAATGAATTACCTAATTTCATGCACCTTTGAACATCGAGCCCTCTTTTATCTTCTTTTTTCAAATAAAGGATATGAATTTAAGGAGTAAATTTTAATAACTTTGGCAAAATGCAGTTCATTTCCCTTGAGGGGGGGCATGTTTTCTGTCGATTAATGTCAAGGTTGTATTATTAGATTTTCATAGTATAATTTTAAAATGTTGATCGAATCATTGTGTCTCTGCTGGACTGAGAAATCATTGTTTTGCTGGGAACGGGCTGATGGGGAGGGGGGCAAGGGGGGGGGGCACAAGAATTAACGAAAACTGAACTCAGGGAATAATTGTACTGTAATACGACTAATACAGGTTGTACTGTAGTACATTGAGCAAAGAACCGACTCGTTTTGCTTATTTATTGTTTTTTTTTTTTTTTTTTTTTTTTTTTTTTTTTTTTTTTTTGGGGGTTGGAGATTCCTCTTACGCTTAGAAAGGGGAGGAAGGGGAGAAAGCAGGGAAGGAGGGCAAGGACACGTGGCCCACAGAAATAACACGTGACTTAATAATAACCCTCCGGCCCCGCTGTCGGGTTTTATGAGATAAGACTAATAGTTTTTCAACATCACATGAGAATCAAATGAGGAGAAGGATAGGGATTTATTGAGTGTGAGTTAAATTTCTTTAAGAGTCATCAAGTGTAGAAATTGTTTTCGTGGTAGAAAAAGATGAAACATGTCAAAGTCACATATAGTTCGATTTGATTGGTTAATTTCTCAACAGATTTGCAAGTTTCTGACACGTATTAAACACATGCAAACTAAGGATGGATATGGTCCAAGCATGGGTAATTCAAATATTATTGTAAATATATTTTTAATTGAAAACAAATCTCTTATTAATTACCTAAAAAGGAAATGTTGAATGGTGGTTTGCAAAATGAGAATGGAAAATTCCTTGTAATCACCACAAAGACAATGGAAAGTAAACAAGTAATTGCATTATTAGTAGGGAGAAATTACCCTCTACCAGGGCGACAGATTGATTTTCCACACATGTATTCACAGATATGTCTATAGATAAATAGACAGTCATTTTGGCTCTCATTGACTCGATTCAGCAAAAAATGTCCACAATAATAACTGCGGCCCTGGTAGAGGGTAGTGAAAAATAGAGTTTAAGTACTAGTGAACAGTTTGAAAAGAGAGTCGGTGAATAAACGCTCGAATGCTCCAGTCCGTCGTTTTTTGTCACTTTAACATAACAAATCCCTTATTTATAGTATACACTGTAGCTATACCGCAATATTTGCCCAAAAAGAGAACTTTTCGAATATTTTTTTCGGTATGTCCGTGAATTCAAGAGATACAAAACTAAAGCAAGTACATGTATAAACATTTTGCCCCATGTTATATCTTACAGTAATATTCAAAAGGAAATTTAAAATATCTAATCACATAATTAGCATAGAAAACGTTTTCATATCTGGGAATTTGAGGTAAAAAAACTGTTAAACAAAAGGAGTATCCTACATTTACATACACCCGCGAGTTGGTCCATAACAGTTGGCGATTCAAGACTTTTTCACACTGGCAAGTTACCAAAAAGAGCAAACTATAATTAAATTCACGAAGCCTCATACACATTTAACATGTTAACCAAGGCGCATCATTGTGAATATCTGTTAATATTGGTAAATTACAGGATGGGTTCGTTCAACACTAATAAGAGCAGTTTAGTCAAGGCAGTGACGCATAAATTTTGTGCAGTATTTCCATTACAGTTTACACCGCTTTTTAATTGCTGCTTATACCCCCTTTACACTGGACGGCGTCCTTTCTGCGTCCTCTCTGCGACCATGAAATTTGGCATCGCTGTGGTCTTAATAAGGAAGCACGAGCACTGATTTTGTATCAGAAGAACGCTCAATGATCGGCCAGTTGTCGGCACGTAAAATATTATAATTTTTTAACTCTCAAATGGGGCCGTGCTGCTGGACGCAGAAAGGACGCCGTCCAGTGTAAAGGGGCCCTTACTTTTGCCCATCAGGAGTATACTATAGTGTAATTAAGAAAATACCAAATCAAGTCAAAACTAAGCAGATTTTATACGCAAAATGTGTGCACCGCTGACGTGTCTGAGATATTCATGATCAGTTCTGTGGGACGATTTACATACAGATTCACATTGCATATATGTTCATTGCATGTCAGCTTAAGTGTTTGGATTCTAAATTAAAAAAACAGACCACGCCAAGTGGGTTGAGTCGACAACTTTGTACAAATGATTCGAGCTCACAATGCAGAGAAACAATACGGAACATAAGTAAATAAACGTGTTAACTACTCACCTTGTTTCCGCTCTGTGCAGCCTGCGCTTATCTCTCCCTTTCTCTCTCCACGTCATCAACTAGATAGCCTATCTCCCCATTCAGCAGGATCAGACGTAGCCGCAAGCAAACTAGTAGTCACACGGCAGTTACAGATTTATTACCACCGAATAACTGACACTGCCACAACTTGTATCATCCACCTTCAAAAAATAATTCAACATGCGCTATAGGTTTCATATTCCACAGTTTTACTTCATGTATGACCCGTATATCTACGTGTTTCGTAATGGAGGGTAATAAGCATGTATGTGCAATAATTATGAGCACATATATTGACATTTTGGCTGATCCTCGAGGTATCCTCTTGGTAATAATGTGAATGGCTGGGAGAGAGAGAGAGAGAGAGAGAGAGAAAGAGAGAGAGAGAGTGTGTGTGAGAGAGAGAGAGAGAGAGAGAGAGAGAGAGGCAAGCTAATGCTATTACATTCTATACAGTAAACCATCACATTCTTTCGTCCGTTTCACTACTGGTCGCTATGGTCAGCTACGAAGCGGACAGAGTAATGCCATCTTACATTTGCAATAAAGCTTTATTACCCTTGCGCAGACCAAAGGGCACTTGAAATAAGAGGTGTGACCTAAATGACAGAAGAATGTGCTTGGCAGAAACCTGCGTGGGTCAGTGTCACGGTCTGTTAAGTTTTGATCACGGCTAACGGTACATTTAACTGGACATGTCCACCTTGAGATATTAAAGGGATAAAAACTCTTCGTATGGGATCCATATTTCACAATTAATACATTGGTAACAACTCTCAGAAATATGATAAATTTTATTTAAACGGTGGTTATCGCAATTATTCTGGAATCTGTATGTGCTTGCCGTGGACGACGTGACCTCCATAGATGGCTATCATAAATCTCCTAAGAGATAATTAAAATATTTTAGAAAAAAAAAAAACAGGGACTTCCTTCGAATGTTGGAACAGATTCACTGACCATTGGTGAGTATGAGCAAATTGTTGTTTACCCAAGGAAAATCCATTTTTTAACCAAAACAAACAGTTGATATCCCTTGGAACTAAACAGCAGAGAGCAACCTTGTTAAGAACTCGTGACAAAGAGGAAAACAATCTGTGAAGGAATTACATTTACGGCCGCTCACAATGGATTGGTCCAGTTATGTAAACCACTGGTTGTTAAAATGCCTTAATTACAGAGTCATATGACACAGTGGCGGATTTAGAGGGGGGTCACGGGGGGGGGGGGGTAGCCGTTATTGGAGGCGATTTGCAAAGTTGAGGGCAACACTTCTGTTTTATTACACGATGGCGCATATTCTGTATCCTGAAATGATAAAAAAATTCGAAAATGATATATGTAATAAGGGAAACCCAAATAAACATGTTTACACCCACGTGTCTTGCTATACGACGATGTCACAAAGAAAGAAAACATGATTTCATGTGCAATTACCCCTTTAAATTATGACCGTCGCCGCTGGGCAGGGTAAAGAATTCAATTATAAATTCTCTCGTGATTTTATATAGTTCTTAACAGAATACGCTAGAGCAGTGAGTAGTTTGAACAGTGCCCCTCTCTGTCTGTAAATGCACTCTTAATTAGGGATAAAAAAAGAATCAATTTCTCTCGTTGAAACATTAATGAACGGTTGACACAAACTTCTTAAATAGGAGACTTAAAGTAGAACAGGTATTATATGCTGATGAGTCGTTTGAGTACCTTAACTGTAGCTTCTTTTCAACAGTTTGACGCGCATAATAATGATGGAAACATTTCCCCGCAACCTCTCAGCATAATAAAAGAAGGGCATTCTTGCTCGTATCAATCTGTTTATTTCACTGTATTTCAGGCCTGCAGGCCAAGAGTACATCNACTTAAAGTAGAACAGGTATTATATGCTGATGAGTCGTTTGAGTACCTTAACTGTAGCTTCTTTTCAACAGTTTGACGCGCATAATAATGATGGAAACATTTCCCCGCAACCTCTCAGCATAATAAAAGAAGGGCATTCTTGCAGACATAATAGTAATCGAAACCTCTAACGGATTACCGGTAGATATACTGGTTACCGTGTAATTATCAATGGGATAACACATGAAAAAATTATAATTGGGACTGGAAAATGCATAGTTTCTGTATATCCTTGCAATGGGTAACGTTAACCCTATGGAAAATACGTACATACATACATACATAGACACGTTCATTTAGGAAAATATCACCTACCTGCTCTATCGCTTTCTTCAGTTGTCCTTCAAAATGAGGGTGATACAAATAAAGATATGAGAAGCAACCAAAATGTCAGTATTAATAATCCGCTATTCTTCATTCTTATAAGGAAATAACGACTTGTCCGTTGCACAGTGTCTGTATTTGGCCTCTTCTGACTTTTATTTATCAGACGCCTCGTTTACCAAAAAGCAACACGTCTGTGAGACATTTGCTATATTTCATCCGCATCTCGCCCTCTTGTGGAATGAAAATGCAATTATATTCATCCTTAAGGCCTTTGAAAGTTTTATTTACATTGTCTTGAAAAAAAAAGATTATAAAAGATGTACGAACAGGATAGAATTACGCCTCCAGCATTAACGCTCTGTTAAATAACAAGTTCAGGGTATTGTGATGCGCATGACTGAGGTAGAATATGCGCGTGCATGTGTGTGTGTGTGTGTGTGTGTGTGTGTGTACCACACAACACCAACATATGTATGAGAAAAAAACTAATAATTTCAGAGTGAATGACAAAAGAAGAGACTGGTGGACTTGATGTGCCGTGTATTTGACTATTGCATTCATTGTGTTATCATAATTTGATGTCGGGTGGGGTCGATTGAAAAATCGCTTTACGCATCCAACCGCTAGGATGAAAAATATTTTTTAAAAATCACAGCTAGCCAAGTTGGGCACGGATTTAAAAATTATCTTTATAAATTAAAGGACAGTCCGGTATAAAAAACCCACTTACGTCATACTCCAAATCCACATATTAATCATGTGATTAGTGTACTTCATCGGGATGGTGGGGTGGTTGGGTGGGATAGGGGTAGGGTCGGACACCCCGGGGTATCTCACTTTGCTGAACGGTAAATTTCATTGAATACTTCAAGAAGGATTTTGGCATCCAGAAACTCGAGTCGTTGTTTTCGAGTCTCTTTTCGAGAGAAAAGAAAAGGGGAGAAATATGAGAGCGGTGAAATATACGAGGTTGGAATTGAATGTGTGTGGAGAGCCCTGGTTGTCTAGCCTTGCTGTACGGTGAATTATGTCTAATTGCTTTCTGGAATTAACCGATATTTTACAGGTCATTGTTTTGTCTGCTTACATACAGTAAACATTTATCGGGGAATGGGGCTATGATGGGCGAGATTACATATCGCCCCCTAATGGGCCCCTTCAATAAAGAACCCCCTTTCCCTTTCTGTAAACAGGAACGAACGTACATTTTATGTCTCATTTTATCACCTCACGTTGTTAACGACGTCGCATGCATAATTTGTGTGTTATTATAATATCTGTCCAAGGTTGAGAGACAATGGGAAAAGTCCAATGGCTTAATAGCTATTCTCTAATCCAATCAAAAACATCCAGCTTTGAAGTCAGTGTAGATTTATTTGAAAATAAGAACACGTGCACTCTAAATTCTATGGCGCTGTTAAAAAATTAACAAGTCTGCGAATAATATTCAGCTATATTGTATAGTTGATTTGGGATATATTTCTTCAATTATTATCATTCTATGTCTGTGTCACTCTATTTCATCCCGACCTGCCCATCACCGTCTTAAATCCAATTCAGATTATGTATCAGTATTCTTCCTTCCATTCCCTACTTTGCATTTTGTTAAATAATCATGATCGCTTCTGGTCCACGTTATCTGTGATCCCCGCCACAAGCCTAATCCTAGCTTTTGTGACGCCACCCAGTCCATGACGTCACTTCTATCAGTGACGTCATTCCATGCAGTATCCGCGGTCGTGCTCTTTACAGAAGCGCATGCCCAAGGGTCTCGACAGGAAGCTGCTTCGCGGACCGTTATACGTCCCGCGGGGACAGGCCCACAGAAAGGATGAACGCATTGAACAACGGATGAAAGTACATTGCGGATCGCCCAGTGTCGGGTCCAGGTTGAAGTAATCCCCATCCGGCAAGTTTTGGCATAGGTCTGAACCTAGTACTAAAACAAAAAATGGGGAAACTCTGTATTAGGTTGTTTCTTTCTTTCTTATTTGTTTATTTATTTTCATGAAATGGATAACAATGTGTACCAGAAGATGCAGATGATATTTCCATTACGGATGTTCATAGAAATATAACGTTTTTAAACAGAATTTGATGATGATCAAGTTTCATGTAACTTTGTGTTTGCAATCTTGTTTAAGTTTATGTGCGTGCATGTGCATGTGTGTGTGTGTGTGTGTAAAATAGGTGTGTCAACAACAAAACATGAAGAAAAGAAAGTTTTGAGACAGAATATTTTACACTCATCCTTACAAGTGAAGGGGACGAAACAGTTAGATACGAAACTTCAAGCTGTGCTATTGTTTCGGTCGTCGAAAAAGCTATAAACCAAAGATGAAAGGACCAAAGCTTGTCATTGATGAAGAGATACATATTTCATATAGCGTTATGCCCGTGGGCAGGAACTAATAAAAAGAACGCAGGTGAAAATTTTGAACATGCAACACAAAATAAATGCGTTTTTGAAACCAAGTCTACTGTTACACGATAAAAAGATATAAATTATTATATAACATACAGGGTGGTCCATACATTCCATCTCAATTTTGATATACATGCAAAGAAGATATTTCCAACTTTCTTTCATCAAATTGTTCCATAAGGATGACCATTTTATCTTTGCAAATTCTGCAGAAATTGAAACCTTTTAAGTAGTCGAATTCTAATAATAATTCTAAAAAGTACAGCCCCCCTCCCCTCCCCAAAGTGGAAGGTACCCCAAAAGAGAGAAATCTGACGAAATGGGTGATCTGGCGAGAAGGGTGGCCAAGAAAATTCCGTGCGACGTGAGATTAAAATTTGACTACCTAAAAGGTAGTCTTTGGCAACAATATATTTCCAAATTTCAGAGGAAAATAGAAAGGTGAACTGGGACCATCTGAGATCGGCCAAACTCTCGCGGCTAAGCGTAAAATTAAGTGGGATTTCCCGGGATTTAGAGTGGATGACAGTGTCGAAAAAAATAAAGACAGAGCAGCAAGTGCAATGCTGAAACGAATCAAAACTGACAAAAAATTATTTAGAAATATTTTCTGGTTATTTTTAAATTCTGTAGTAGTCTTGTGCACAACAGTTCTTATTCACCATATTTGTTTCTTATGGTTTAATTGCTTTCTTAAGACGACGCTTCCGGCACAGGTTAAAGGTTTACATGCACATGTACCTCACATGGATTCTCGCACATCTGGTGTGAGTTTTTTTTTTTTTTTTCTTCTTTTTAATTTGTTATCTTGGGCAATTTCTGTTCTTTTCTGTTTGAAATGTGATCTTCGTAACGTGATAACACGTCTTTATCAATGCAAGTATAATATGTGTAAGTGACTGAGTTTTGAAACGTTGAATTACAGGTTTTATCCGATTGTAAATTAAGGGAAACTGTGCACCAGAATTCACCTTCGAAATGTTTTGTTTTTTTTCTTTTCATTGTCCAGAAAATGTTAACCTCACATAGTTTTAAGGTGCACTAAAGAATATGCACAGAGCCCGAAGCTGGTCAACCTTTAGAAGTTAATGATTGTTAAACGCGTGACGGTATTCTAATAGCTCTATGATGAAACGCAAACCACTGGAGTCAGCAATACTTTAATAATTAGATTATGTTGCAGTACTTAATTTAAATAGCTTCATATTTTCCATTTGAATGTCCATTATGTGCCTGAATGCATATTTTCATTTGATTACTTTTCTTCTTCAATCTTTCGCTATACTGTTATGTAAATTCATCTACTATGCCTAGACTTATTTTATTGTTTCAATCATTTTGTAAGATATATATTGTACAATCCAGTTGTTTTTTGTGGGAAAGATAAACGATTGTCGACGTCCACGTACTGAATTTTATGCTAATTCTCAAGAAGTTTGTAAACGCAATTTGTGAAATTAAAACTAACTACCTGTAATATTTGTCTTTAATTTAACTGACCCAAATCTATGATTGACTCCACAAAACGGGCAAATTAAAAGCAAAACCTAAGGAAAATGTGGGTGACCCAAAATAATGTTACCACAAGCGGTAGACTGAATATAAAACTATATAGCAAAGCCTTCAAGGCAAGTAGTCAATAGTAACCTGCGCTTTGTGTTGTTTCAATAAAATATATTATTAACTTTGAAGTTATCATCAAAACACTGCCTGTTTGTAAGCGTGGCCAAGCAAAGCACAGCATTCCACAAAACAATGAGAGATAAATAAATAAATAAATAAATAAATAAATAAATAAATAAATAGATTAAATACACATAAAGATTAATCAACGAATGCATAAAATAAATATATGAAAAATCAGTAACAATGAAACATACCAAAGTAAACATGATAAATAAATAAATAAATAGAAATATAAATAAATAATGGTAATATACATGGTGTGTATATTATGAATATAGACATTACTAAAATGCAGGCAAAATTTACGCTTCCATAGCTCGCGGCTGTTATTAAATGAGTTTGTTTTGTACATTAACGTGCCGGCATATTGCACTGTCGTAAACTAAGATGTCATTCCCATAGAAACCATCGGTCTATGTAGATCGATCCAACTCTACAGGCACTCTTGCTGAGTGCAACCAGCTTAACCGATTCACACCCTCCTGGCGTTGTAAAGAATATTGAAAAGCTGGTGATTGTACAAGTAGTGCATTGGAAACAATAGGTGCTGTGGCTTTCAGTTAAGCTGATTGCACACAGCGAGAGTCCCTAAAGAGTTGGATCGATTTACGTAAACCGATGGTTTCTGTTGGAATGGGGCCTTATTTTATTGGCTGAAACGAAAACTAAAGCCTCTCTCATTCTCTATTTGAATCCCTTTGTAGGAATGATATATTAGTAAAGACTTAACCAAACAAGACGTCTACAGCTGTACAAAATCTGTACTAAGAGTTCTTTATGAGAGGGCTTTCTTCGTATTGCTTGTCTTCCTTCTGATTTCTAATAACTTTAAAATTTTGTTCATAGTTGACAGCCTTAGCTAATACAAGTTAAGACTTTTTTCACGTCAAGTGTTGTATCTTAACGATACAGCTGTACCGGCGTGTTGTTAAGGATAACCATACCCGCCTTCACAGGTTCTCCATAAGTTTTGTTTCCTGGCGTTTTGGCGTGTCGAGCGCAGGAACTCCGTGTAGGGGACTGTTTTACATAATATCCCAACTACAAGTTGTTAATCTCTCAAAATATACCGTCCAAGCTGCATCAATAAGATATAACGCTCGATTGAAAAGGCCCCTATATAATCGAACATTCATTAACAGAGGGTACATGTATGTACCAGAACAGAACTTACCTTTCATTTGAAACCGCATCTTTGTTTTCTTTAAAACCCTATCTGCTGCCTTTTTAGAAGGGGACGTCGTCTTGAATGGTGTGTATACGACAGTTGATTCCACAGCATTGAAAACCTCATTTTCTTCCAGCAGGCCGGATTTGAACGCGAAATAAAGGTATGGACTTCCCGCGACGGCCCCGGCGCAACATACCGTCACACTGAGGGCTAGGAGGAAATTTTGGACCATGATCAAAATGTTGCCAAAGAGGTCCTGGAAGCTCTAGCCAAAAAGGCTCTTCATTCTGAGGGTCCCTGAAAAGATTGTGCGTCGATCCTAAACGTTTAACCCGGCTATCGATGAGCGTTAAAACGCAGCATCGCTTGAAGCGAAGTTTTATAGTCGTCCTATCAAAGGTGTGTTTATAATCCAGTCCGGATGGATCAACTTTTAACGTTCTAACTCTATAGGCAGTGTGATCTCATTATCTAAATACGCCACTGCCATTGGAAATTGTGAATCTTGGTCGAGGAGCCGGATTTGGGGAAGGGAGGGATTGAGGGGGGGGGGGGGGGGGGGCCCGCCTGCATTCTCTCTCCCCTCTCTCCATCTCTCTCTCTCTCACCACCTCTTTTTCTCCCTCCCCTTGTCTCGCTCTTTCTCTCTTTCTCTCTCTCTCTCCGGACCAAGTCAAGAATACCCCCGCCAATTCATTGTTATTATTATTATTATACACACACACACACACACACTGAAGACGTACTTCCTACGCGCCTGCCTACAAATTGGCTTGCGACTAACAATGGCGATAGACTTGATGATTGGTGCTAGGGATAAGATTTTCATCTTTTGGATAGAAATTCTAATCACAAGATCCGCTGGTGTAATTGAGTGAAGACGTGGTAAATTAACTGTAAACGCGACCTCTAAATCAGATTCGTTTACGTTGCTTCCGGTTTCTTATTCGCAATAAAATCCATTAATATTTGTTATAATATTATAGTGGAAAAACAATGGATGGGACCAATGTTATGAAACCTGACAAGATAGTCCTGTATCTTCTGGGGCTAAATCTCAGTTGAATATTGAGAATATTGAATCGACATGATTTCTGATTTGGGAAATCAGTCTGATTGAAAGTATATGTTGACATGTTTTCCGAAAAACATGCTGTTGCTATTAATTTGTAATTCAAACAAGAAACAATGACCAGCATCACATAAAATTGATTTCTGAATATGTAAGAGAGCCCAAAATCAAACTTATTTTGCTCTCTCTGTAGATTCGATACAAAATTAATTTATTAACAAACTTATTTATTGATTTATGTATTTGTTCATTTACGTAACGTTATCAATTCAAGGATAAACTCGTAAGTGTCAACTTAAACTATGCTTGTAATCGCCTAACTTAAGATAATAATTAACAATTAAAGAAGTAATTAAAGTAAAGAACCCAGATTGGCGATATCGCGGTCAAACACCGGGGGATCTAATGGCTGTTAATGAGAACATGGTCTACATCTTAAGTAGTGGACGCAAGGTTCCACTGACGGGCACAAATTCTCTCCGTCGTTGTCGACTTGTATAAAACATTGCCCACTTCCTTTGCCCGAAGCAGAACCGGGGTCGTAAAGCCGGGTGTCGCAGCGTAACTTGTGGAGTACTTGCATTCGGTCGCATTCACAACAACTGAATAACAGATCCGCGGATCAAATATGGCGACCCACTTTAAAGCTTGACGCATAATCCCCTAATACATACTGAATAGATTCCCCTCGGGGATTTCGCGACAAGCATTCAAGTGGGTCCGGCATAACTGATCCGCAGAACTGTTAGTCCGCAGTTGTGAATGCCGCCTTTGCCTCGACGTCGTCTTTAACACGCAGATAAATGAATCTTTGTCGACGTGGTCATGCAAGGTCGTTGACACGAATCTTGTTGCGTTCGCGCACTGCGTTCGTGGGAAGTGGGGGGTGCGCCCACACGCGGAGAAACGGGGTAATCGTTATTGTTGTAGTTAGTGTGCAGCAAAATGGAATGGTTTTGCTGCGCTGGATAATGCTGTAATAGAGACTTTTGCGACCAGGCACAGAAAAAAGGATGCTGTTGTTTCGCTCACACAGAGCAAAATAGATAATCGTCGATTCACGGCATCATCATCCCTGTCATAGAAACCATTTATTGACAAAGCATTTAGTCTAGAATTAAAACAAAAAGTGTGTGTTTGCGTATCATCATAAAGGCGAACAGCATGCTCGAAGATGGATTGATAAATTTGCCATTAACAATATAAAGAACACAAAACTGGAGCATCATAACACTGGAATCTCTGAATACAGCGATGCTAATAAAGTAATTTCCAGTGAATCGACGATTATCTGTTTTGCTCTGTTTTACTTTGCAGTAGTAGCCTTTGGCGTTTTACGCAAGATTTGGACCAAGAAAAACGATTGGGACACTGCAATTTAAACTCCTTAGTTACGACAATTACAATTTGGGCAAGTGCTTGGCCTTTTAAAAGACCTACAAAAACGAGGTTAGCAGAATTTTTTTTCTGAAACGAAACTTATTAGACATAGTCTCGGTAGGCTATCATGACTTAAGATAATTATGAAAAGATTAAAATTGTGTATTAGTGACAACAGCCGGAGGTCCAAACTTCTACTTCATCTTTTTACGATTCACGTAAACGTGGCGAAGAAATACTTAAGACAGCAGCACGCGAATCTTTTATCACACCTACAATTTATTACACATTTACATACAGTTTAGCATGTACAGCGCATGAGGCTTAGATCAACTACTACTTCCACTGTGATAATCCATTCGCAATTCAATGAAGACCCTTCTCTCCACCCCAAAACCTCATTCTCAGCTGCCACTGAATGTCTGGGAATGGTAACACTTGCATCGAGGATGAGGTTCCTGGTTGGAGGGCGTGGGAGGACTCTCTTGTTTGTAACTACCTATCTACCTAAGTTACATACTAGATTCTGCATTACACTTTACAGTTTTAACATTTATATATAACAAAACTAAACGTCGACCCCTCTTAATGACGGAGACTTTTTGAAGCATTTTGTCTTCCGAGCAGTACGTCTTTTACCCGATTCAAATTTTAAATACCTTCCATGATTTTAAGCACAAAAAAATCGATTCTGTTAATGCGTCTAAAATGACACTGCTTTAAAACTACATTAAAGGTTCCGAAAAGCTGCAAGTAAGCGCTGTGACTTACAAAATAAAAATGTACTGTGATTTAGAACTATTTGCCAAGCGTTGGACAATTCTAAAGTCGTGTTCAAGCCACTGTTCCTTAAACTACACGAATACACCTGTGATGCTAGCGATGGTAAATGTATTTATATATATTAAGCATGGCTAATTCTAAAGTAAGTTCAATAACCAACATAAAGATATACGAAAATATTTTCAATTTCTCGAACACTCCACACCTTGACATATGTAAGCATTCACAAAGGCCAATTTTTAGAGTACACACAATCTTGATACTGTACAAAATTTAGACTAGCTCTTTCCGTACAAAACAAAACACATTTGATTTGGCATGACATTTCGCATACGAAACGGCAAAACGATATTTCGTATACGAATATAGCAGCAAAATATAAGTTCAAAAACGTTGAGCATGTCGAACATACAGGGTTATAGTATTACGCCAGAGAGCAACTTGTCTTCAACTTGTATAGATTGTAAACTACACTTACAGCGCATCCAGAACAGATGATCCTCGGTCTAACAGATCCGCGGACTAAATATGGCGGACTCCACTTAAAAGCAAGCCGCCTTATCCTATGATGGTCTCCCCACCTCCACACGCGCCATTAAACGGATTCAATCTCGGCTCCAAGGTTAAATTGCTAGACCCCCGCAGGGACGGCGCGTATGGTGGTGGGGAGACCATCAGGGACTTTAACGGATTGCTTTTAAGTGGGCCGGCCTTATATGATCCGCAGATTAGTTAGTCCGCAGATCAGTTTGTTCTGAATGCGCTCTTATATATACACGGAACTAATTCAAGCACCACTTGACTTTTTGCTGACAAAATATTGAGCAAAATTGTACTACTGGTATTCTGCCTACATGTAGAGCTAGATTTCTCTGGACTGCCATTTTTAGTCTGATAATCTGAGTGCAAGGTGGGTGTCTCAAAAAAAGGCCGCTAGGCTTGCTCATCGTTTCAATGCATAAAAATGTTTCATACTTAGTCTGTTGAATATGTCCTGTCAGAATATTTGTTATTTATTTTCGAGTCGAGATCGATTTTTTACTCTTTAAATCTACCGTGAACACTTCAGTTGCTACACACGCTGTCAAAGAACTGGAAATATAGAAAGTAATCTACTCATGGCTGCGATTCTTTTGAATGCGACTCTTTTTAAACTAAAACTAACATTTCCGTCAGTTTTTTTTTTTGTAAATCATAAATACCATTTTAACCTACGTATCTACTTTTAATGTCAACAAAATAGTTTACAAAATGCTGCAAATAACATAAATGCCCCGATCATTCTACTTTGTAACTATAATGGGATATATGCCAAAATAAACATGAATACTGTCTTCATCCAATACATAAGGAGCATTAATTCAATAAATCCACAAAGAAAATATTACATTTGGGGTACGTATATTTCACTTTTTACACTTATGAGTATACATGGGTGGAATACATGTTGCTACGTTAGGGTAATAATTATCGAAACTAAATTAGACAACCGGTGCGAATTTGTTCAATCAGCACCATAAGACGTAAAATAATAATAATTAATAATAAGGATGATAATAACAATAATGGTCACAAATGATGCAGTTAATATTATATTCAATTATTACAGTCCCGGGACTTAATTCACTGTTTTGCACGTATATATATATAACCAAGCAGTTGTTGCGCATGCGTGTTTGCTGGGTACCCTGGTAGTCAAAGAGCAGAACAAACCAAGCTTCTTGCTAGTAGATGGATGGAGAGTTGTCAACGGCTCCCAGACGCCCAGGGTGTTCCGTGGAAGCTCTCAATTGTAATCAGCACGATAGAACGCACAGCATGTCAAAGCCACGCATCTTGGTCCACAGTTGTTTTTGCCAAGCATTGCATTGTATAACACGAAATAATAACCCCCCCCCACCCCACGTTTCTATTCGAAATCTATAACCCAGATCTACATACGGTATTTCTCAGCTGAAAACCATTTGGACAGTCGCTGTAACATTAAACTGTACGAATAAAATTATGAATCTCGCTAAAGACAGAAGACTTGAAATGTCACATCTAATCTAAACTCTTCTCCTCTTTCAAAAAGTTTCTTTTTTTTTTTTTGCTTTTTCATATTTACTGATAAACCAAATTTGATGAAATGCACATTATCTTCAACGATGCGCAACATTAGTTCATCTCTCAGTCACTGAGCTAACTACTAGCGATACTGATATACATATACATTGATTTTTTTTCTTCAAAACGACATGCTTTGTCATATACTTGTGGTCTTCATGACGTCATATGTGGCCTTCATGACGTCATATAAGAGACGTGACATCATATACACGAATTCATCATTACATAAGCCTCTGATTGGGTCCCGACGTGGATAACTCTTTCATAGTCTGAAGTAGTATTTTTCCCCAAGTGAATAACTTTTAGTCTTTTGAAATATTTTCAGTGTTATGACTCTATTTACTCTCCTCCGTCGCGGCGGGTGCTTCTTCTGCTGGTTTTTCTGCTTCAGCTGCGGGCGCTTCGGCGGCATCTTCTTTAGCCTCACCCTCGGCTGCCTCTTCTTTCTTTTCCTCTGGCTTCTCCTCGCCATCCTTCTTCTCCTCCTCCGCCTCCTTCTTTTCTTCCTTCTTGTCTTCCTTTTTCTCTTCCTCCTGTTTCTGTTGCTCCTCGGCAATCGTGTCGTCCACCTCGACTTTCTCGTCAGCAGCTTTCTCCGGGGACATCAGCACCTTGCCCACGTTCTTCCTCTCGTGCATACGGGACATGGCATTGGCTGCCTGTAAACACAAATAAATAAATAAATAAATAAATAAATAAATAAATAAATAAATAAATAAATAATGTACATTATGTTGCGGTCAATTCGTAATTGACCTTTTCGCACTGACTTTACATACACCAGAGCAACTTAAACATTATCTGTATGACACGTCTTAACACTTTGTCATATCAATAAATAAATAACTAAATAAACTAGAAGAAAACACTTTCGTTTACAGGACCATTGCGAAAAAGGAACCAAAGACTGGAGATTATAGATAATCAAATACATTAACAAATCTTACCTGTTCAAAAGGCCACACAGAGTCAATCTTCGGCTTAATCTTGCCGTCTTTGAACAGCTGCATCAACTGCCCCATGGTCTCCCGAAGCAGCTCCTTCTCGCTGAACAAGTGTCCCAGGTGGAACCCGCACACGCTCTTGTTCTGGGCCATCAGGTGTGTTGGGCTGATGCTGCTTGACTGCCACCAGGTTTTGGCGACCTTCAGAAGATTTCTTCCCTCGCCTTGGACTGCGTTGGCTGTACCTGTCACGAAAATAAAGAAGGTTTGAGTTCAGTGGGGAGTTTTGGCGACTGTCGGTAGGGTTTTTTCCTCGCCTTGGAAGGCATTGACTGTGCCAATCACAAAAGTGAAGAAAGTTTAAGGTCAGTGGGTAGAGTTGGTTCCTCTCCTCGCCTTGAACTGCACTGGCTGTATCTGTCGTCAGAAACGAATAAAGTTTTAGTCCAGAAGATAGCTTTGGCGACCGTCACTTGTTTTTTTCCTAGCCACGGATTGTCCGTAACTGTCGCGATATTCTTCTGGTATAGTCCCATCGCTCTACTGGCGCCTTTCAACACTTGTGTTGCTAGATTAGCATCAAGTTTTGGGGACGGAGAATGTCTCTACTCTCATAATGAGCCAAGCTGTCTTCGTTTTGCGGGCAAATAGATATTTATTTTATTATTATTTATTGCCCCCAAGGGTACTGCTCCTCGTCTTGGGCTGCATTGGCTTTACATGTCTGAAAATTGAATTCTTCCTAAAATAGTCACCGCTGGCTTCTTTTAAATGATGATGCTTTGTTTGCACCAAACATCATGGAATAAATCAGCACCCTCTTCTATTTTTTTCAAGCAAGGTGAAAGTATTTGCTGAATTCAAACCCAGCTCAGTATTTTCATTTCAAAATTCCAACATGGGATTGGCTTGTTTGCTTGTCTCCTCTTCTTTAACTGATGCTTTAAATGAAATAATAAATGCTAGGCGTATTTTGTCGGACATATTTGTTTGGAGATCCACGTATAGATACTTTATTTTTTTCTTTTTATTTAGGTTCTATAATCTAAAATACTACATCAGTTGCCACATCGAAATGGAAGTAGAATGTGCCCGGAATGCAATAAACTAATGGCAGGAAGCAAACGAGCCTCATCAAATCATAAGCTATCCCTCTCAGGACTAATTTCCCTGAATGTTAAAAATAGCGAAGAGCATGTTTTTTTCTAAATCACAATACAGTGCCATACGCAGAACGCTTGCGAATTTCATTTTCCGTTTCATAAGACTACAGGATGACGTAATTCCTTTGTGAATTTCCGAAATCACAAACGCTGACTTTTAAGAAACTGTCGTCTGATTCTTCGTATGAGATGTATCCAGTGGTTTTAATAACACTTGCACGATGATATGAATGATATCTTTTTCAAACGTCCTTCGGGATCCATTATTAATAAAATGCAACGTTTCTACAAAACAACTACTCTCTCTCTCTCTCTCTCTCTCTCTCTCTCTCTCTCTCTTGCCTAAATATGTCATGACACTATCATTCTTCTACTGGTCAAACCCTGCCGCCCTCACGTATCAGAGAGCTCACCATGACAGAGAGTCCGGTTGCAATTGATTTGTACAGATAAGCCCCGTCCTAGACATGAAATCAATGTCACGCTAACCCTAACCAGTATGAATCTTATGCAGGGCGGACACTCTGTGGCACGGGATTCAAGACCCCATTCCCAGAGATTAGATCGATCCAAACTAGATCGACCTAACTCCCTGGGGGTTCACGCTAAATAGCTGTCAGCCGAGCGGGCACGAAAGTTAATTACCCCCTTACAGCTTGTAGTAGGCGGGACGGACATTTAAGCCGGATTATCTGACAGTAATCTAGTGAGACTTCCCACGGGGATAGATCGATCTTAAATCTATGGGAATACGCCCTAAGTTTCATGACACCTCAATAGAAATACTCTTCTGTCACAAACTCTTTACCAACGTTTTATCACCCACTCGCGTGTGGTAAAAATTTGTACTGAATTTCTGACAAACGAGTATTCTATTTTTATTGTCATTTTGTACCAAAAATAATGAATTTTTAACACAAATTATTTACACCGGTTTAGAGCGAAGCTACTATAAAGTATAGAAGTACAGTCAACACCTATTAGCTGTGTGAACGCATCCGATCGATTCTGAACCAGTTCAAAGCCGTCCCATAGTCTATACATTTTCATACACCAAATGGCAATCTTGGCGCTTTTATATCACTTACCGTAATGGATGATTTTCCCCAATGGTTTCAGCAGTCCGAAGCCCTTGGCTGAGTCATTGCCCGACAGCGGATCCAAGACGATATCGACACCTAAAATATGATGAATCGTTAAGAATACTTCACTTAACAGTCAACCTTGCTCGTCAAGGAACATATCGACGCACTAGGCTGTGCTTACGACTATGACTCATGAAGTTGATCGATATGAAGATGGATATATCAATGATTATTGCATTGATAGCATTTGTTGTTTTCTTTTTCTCAGTATTTAGACCTTACGAATATATTCTGCATGACAAATAAATAATATATACAATTATGTCGGGGTAAATGAGTGTAATAAGGACGCCAGTTGGACCAAAATCCGTTCCAAATTAGTCAAGTCTACACAGGTCTAAATCTCAAACTACTATCTTGGGAATCGGGGTTTCTCTGCTGTGAAAACGTGAAGAAATCTCGCAAAGCAAAACGCTAAATGATGTTAAATCATTCACAAGTACCCCAGTCTGTGTCGGAACAGAATTTCTCAGCGATCAATACGATCACCAACGTCCAAAGAATCGGGCACCAGGCAAGAAGAAGAGCTTTCGCCGTTTCTCCCCCTACCTTTTGGCGACTCCTTCAAGATCTCCTCAACATAGTCTTTGGACCTGTAGTCAATTGGGTGTGTGACGCCGTTCTCTTTAATGGTCTCATGCTTGTGGGCAGACGCTGTGCCGAAAATTGTCACGTCAGGCACTGTCATGGCCAGCTGTGTGGTGGCGATTCCAACGCCTCCTGGAGGAATTCAAGCGGAATTGAGTTAGAATAGTTTGGAATCTTATCGACAATGGATTTAAAAATAATTGACAATTAAAATTATGCATATTATATATGCGTTTATATGTTTGTTTGCCTATTGGCATCTTCAAGCATTCTTGAGTCCTTCCGTCTAAATGTGTGCACATTTTGCCTTATATTCCTTCTATATTTAGTGTGTGTGTGAGAGACCGAGAGTGAGGGAGAGAGAGAGTGTGTGTGTGTGTGTGTGTGTGTGTGTGTGTGTGTGTGTGTGAGAGAAAAGAGAGAGAGAGAGAGAGAGAGAGAGAGAGAGAGAGAGAGAGAGAGAGAGAGAGAGGGGGGGGGACTTACACGTACAAAAAAGCTTAACAAACAGACTCAAACTCACCGGCGGCCATATGGATCAGCACGCTCTTGCCGGACCTCAGATTGCCGAACTCGAACAGCATCAGGTAGGCTGTGATATAGTTGACTGGAATGGCGGCGCCCTCCTCAAAACTCATCTCCTCGGGCATCAGGAAACACTGGTCAGCCGGGACATTGGCAAGCTCCGTCCACAGTCCGAATTCCTTGTAACAGATGACCCTGTCGCCGACCTGTAGAAGATGTAAAAGCAAAGAGTTAGGCACGCTGTTTGTTCTATGCATTGAATTATGTAAAAAAAACTGGCTGTCCTTAAAAAAAAGTTGAATAGACTGAAAAGTTTAAAGGATTCTTACAAGGACTTGTCCCTGTGATAACAGTAAAAACAATTCAACAAAAAAGTTATTTTTTTAAATAGGGAATTCGACTAGCACTATATTAAGTTAAAATATCGAAGCAAAAAAAAAAATGTTTTTCAAATCACTCTTACATGAAATTTATTACGACAGCTAAACCAGGCAACATATATTTATTTTGCACTGGTATAAGCGATTCAATTTTAATATCGCAAATCGGATAATCTTTTCCTTCGAACTCAACGTGTATATATGAAATGTATAATAATTATAAACAAGAGAAGACTCGCATTAGTTGTCAACGGGTCAGAAGCCTTCCTCTATTCATATATTAGAGTAACTTATCCCGTTACAGTTTTATATTTACGCACTGAAGCAAAAAAGGAAATAATACTCCCCCCCTCCCCGAAAAATCCTCCATGCGCCATTGAATGGACGATCTACTAATAGGAGTGCTCGTCTAAAATGTGTGTTGCATAGATATTGCTCTAAAATAACATCGGTAAGAAAAGCAATAAACGGGTGCTCCGAAAGAATAAGCAGATTAGAATAAGTGCATGACTCCTCTGTGGTCATATGGTCTGATGGAGGATTTTTTTATATTTGATTATCGTGTTTACACGGAGCTCTTTGACGGGGCTAAATAAATATTTGCGTATTAAAGAGTAAACACACTGCTTATTTTAAGTCACAGCGTTGTGGAAATTAATATTGATAATTTTTGTTTTCGCTAAAAACACAAGTTTAATATTGTTTTTTAAGGTGGTAAGGTACTGATTTACCCTTTATTAATGAAGAATATTTTGAAATCCATCAAATAATAGATTTCTGACAGACACGAGGGGAGCAGAAACGGTAATATAAGCTAGATAATACAAGTGTAACGCAAATTATCGTCTGCTGTTGTGATTGCATTATCGTCTGCTCCTCGCGGTGTCAAATCGAGTTAACTGAGATAAATTCCCCCGTTATCGCTGGTATTAGATATAATTTCGATTAACACGGCGACCTTGCAGCACTGATACAGGATAAAATGATTTCTGTGACAACCGACTTGGAAACAATGCTTCTACAATATACAAACACCGCCTGGTTCTGAGGGAGTAAGGTCGCATTCACAACAGTGGACTAACTAGTCCGAGGGTCAACTATGGCAGACCCACTTGAATAATCCCCCAAAGGGGAATCTATTCAGTGTCTATTTTTATAAGTTAATTGTCTTACTCATTGTGATTGTTTAATAACACATTCGCAAAAATTATATTTATTTATATTGTCATTTTCATCCACCCAGGTGGATGCATATGTTACAGTGCAATAAACTAAACTAAACATTAAAAAAAACTATTAGCGGATTAGACGGCAAGTTTTTTAGTGGGTCGCCATATTTGACTCGCGGAATAGTTAGTCCACTGTTCTGAATGCGACCTTAGAGGATTTGCAGCCCTGAGGGAATATTTATTCACCAGTTCAAATCCCGATGCTTGCCATATTTTCTTCACGTCACTTGAACCTTATTTAGTTAATGAGCAAGCTCGGCTCATGAAAGGTTTAAAACAAAGAGGAAAATCAACAGTTCCAGAAACATCGATAGCATAACTTCGTTTTAGTGACGTTCTTTTTTCTAGCTTGTTTTACAACGCGCTGAAGGGTAAAGACTTAACCTTATAAGAACCGCACGATTAAGTTACATTTGAAAGGTCAGTCTAGTAAATTGAAGTTTCTTTTCTCGTGCGCTTTAAGCATTGGTACAACTAAACCAGACTCTGGCGGCTTTTAAAACAAATGTTAGGCTACCTATCAGACTCTAGAGACTTTATAACTAAAAAATGCACCCATTTCTTCCGGTAAAGTCCATGGTTCTTCGTTATCACAATTTATTGGCGAGACGGGTTTTAAACAAGGCTTAAGCCTTATATTATTTTCCGTTCTATCATCACAATCTCTTAACACGGCTGAACATCGTAAAAATATCCTTAAATATGTTTGACAATGACGATCAACGTGCGCATGCGTAGCTTCTCTCATTTCCCCTTATACAATAAATGTGTGTTGTCTTAACATTTCGTTTTGATATATCTCGATAATTATAATACATAAACCCGACACGTTTAAGTGGGTTTTCATGTTCTTCTCCATCTTAATGTGACGAGAGATATTGCCGATCGAAGCTTCGGTCCCTATAATCAGTCTTGTTTGTTTAATGGCGCATGAAAATGAGGTGTAGCAGATATTCATTTCTTTTCTCCGACAACGTTCTGAGAGCTGAGCGAACAACATCAAGAGACTGAATATTTCATATATTCGCATTTTCCACTTTTATGCATCGCTATATATTCAAGGGGAAATACCGCTGTTTAAAAAAACTGACCTAAGCCGCAGACCCAGTGGAAATATAGACCTATATTGGTAAACTAACAACAACATTATGTTAAGACATGGGACAAGCTGCCACCGTAACATATGTCGAGTAAATCAACAAGCAAAGGAAATATTTGTCTCATTGATTCCTCATTGATTGAATCATAGTAACTCTGATAACGCAGAACAATGCTCAAAAAGGATTAACCTACATGTACACTGAGGGCAAGCTATCTATCATAATGTTTTATTATTTAAATATTGCTTGAACTGTATTAAAATACATCATATGTTGTTTACGCTAATGTTATGATAAAAATAATAACAAAATACCTATAATAATATTGTGCTTATCATAATAACCACCATGCTTTACTATTCTTATTATCATATACAGTCTTATCAAATAGGGCGTGTGTTGACAATTCCAATGACAAATTCATCACATAACAATGCCTGTCACTAGAGATACTGCAGCAATGACAAACACGGCCTACGCATCCTGTCATGCGCCGGTAAAGCATCGTATCTAATGATGAAATGCAATTCTTCTGTTGATAACAGGACGCGAAGACACTGTAAGTGTACGTGTGGGTGTGTGTTTGCTCGAGTGCGTACGTGCGTGCGTGCGTGCGAGAGAGAGAGAGAGAGAGAGAGAGAGAGAGAGAGAGAGAGAGAGGCGTACGCAACATTATTTGAATTAGTACCTTTGCTTTCATAAATATTTTTAACGTTCAAGGAAACCACCCTGATGCTATTTTGGAAAGACCTCTAACCCATTCCTCTCTACTCCCCCTTTCAACCACGAACATAAAACATTGCGGTTTCAGCACAGCTGCGTTCCCGTTGATCAAAAGAGTCTTTACTTGTTTAAAGCTTAACGCCATTTTGTCCTTATGATTCAGATCCAACACATAAAGATCGATGTACGTGCTCAACATGAAGTTAACACTGAGAAGAGTTATTTTCAGTTACAGACCGGTTTCTGTAAAATATTGAATTTGGCAATCAACTCAAGTCATTATCTGTGCACTGCGAAATCAGTAAGACGGCCGTCGTCCTCTAAGATTAACTTTTCCATGCACAGACAGCAACAAATTTCCTCTTAATTGTGCGTAATGAAATGGCATTTATGTCAAGGGGAGAAATAATGTAGAGCAATTTCAATACATAAACGCAGGTCATTTGTTGACAGCAAGGCGCTAAGATATGAGAAAACCTCACTGAAATAAGAGACCGATTTATGACATTTGCGCCAGGCAATATGGAAGTGAAATATTATAAATCACTTTCATACTACTTGCTTATCGGTCTTCAGAGACAATATACGGGGAGTATTTTTTCCTAGAAGCCAACACGGCATTTCAACATAGCCTCTCACTACCGTTAACAACGAAGCGACATGTAGCTCGCTGAAACGCAGACTTAGGTGATTTATATTTCTGTGACGTAAGAGTCCCTTATTAAAGATGTAAAATGACGTTGTTTTTTTTTTTTTTTTTCAAGTCTCTTTCTAACCTTATGGCATAAATCTCCCAAGGTTACTTAATGCCTTCTTGTTAAATAACTCTCAATCTTAAGGCTCTGTTGACAGGCTTACAAGTAAGTGACCGGTAACGCACGCGCTCACACGCGCACACAATTACACACACACACACATATACAGGAGTGTCATGCCTTAGCATTTTTATGAACGTTTTCTCATATGTACTAGATGTGTTCATATCAGGAAAACGTAAATGGGAGTGCTAACACGAGAGAGAGAGAGAGAGAGAGAGAGAGAGAGAGAGAGAGAGAGAGATGGAGTCAGAGAGGGGGTCACCAGCTTATAACGGCATTCAAAGAAAATCCACAGGCCTACTTAAATCACCTTTCCTTCTCTTTAACATAATTACACACAACCTTGTAGGCCTACGTGCATAACAACAAATGTGTTTTTTAATCACGGGGCGAGAATGAGATTTAACACCGTTTGTGACTAGTACCTGAAGGCCGGTGACCTGCTCCCCAATCTTCTCCACCACACCAGCGGCCTCGTAACCCAGAACACAGGGAAGCTTCGGCAAGATCTCATAACTTCCCTGTCTCCTCATTAACTCGTTAAAATTAAGTCCAGTCGCTTTGACGCGAACCAAAACCTGAGCCGGCTCTAAGGGCAGAGGTTTCTCTTGCCTGACTTTTAAGTTCCTGTACCCCCCATGCCCCGTAAGGACGATGCTCTTCCGCGTCGGCGCCGGGGTCGGGGTCTCTTTGGCTTGGGCCGCGGACGCTTCTGCTGCGCCGTCTGTCACGGCGGGGCCCTGGGCTTTATCGTCCGACATTGGTGGAAAGAGTGTAACTAACCCTCGATGCTACAGATTGCAGGTTACTGCTGTGGTAACCGCCTAGCCTCGCCTGACAGAGAGTAAATGAGATTACATTTTTCACTGGATCGATAAATGAGTCAAGTGTTTGTAATATTTAATGTGTTTCGTTGAAGGGACGCGAGCTGGATTGTGTTAGTTGCGCTGAGCAGT